CAAGTATTCTGATGTATTCAAACTGATCCATGATCCCTGGTATGCGATAAATAGGCCCAACACCGTAGTATGAGAAACATCCCCATATCATGATGCTTGCACCACCATGCTTCACTGTCTTCACAGTGTACTGTGGCTTGAATTCAGTGTTTGGGGGTCATCTGACAAACTGTCTCCGGCCACTAGACCCAAAAAGAACAATCTTACTTTCATTAGTCCACAAAATGTTGCGCCATTTCTCTTTAGGCCAGTCAATGTGCTCTTTGGCAAATTGTAGCCTCTTCAGCACATGTCTTTTTTTCAACAGTTGGACTTTGCGGGGGCTTCATGCAGATAGCTTGGCTTCACATAGGTGTCTTCTAATTGTAACAGTACTCACAGGGAACTTTACACCTTCTTTCATCTTCCTGGAGCTGATTGTTGGCTGAGTCCTTGCCATTTTGGCTATTCTTCTATCCATTCGAATGGTAGTTTTTCGCTTTCTTCCACGTCTTTCAGGTTTTGGTTGCCATTTTAAAGCATTTGCGATCATTTTAGCTGAGTAGCCTATCATTTTCTGCACTTCTTTATATGTTTTCCCCTTTCCAATCAACTTTTTAATCAAGGTACGCTGTTCTTCTGAACAATGTCTGGAACGACCCATTTTCCTCAGAGTTTCAGAGAGAAATGCACTGTAACCAGCATGTACAACATTTGCTGCCTTCCTTCCTTAAATAAGGGCAATAATTGCCACCCGTTTTTCAAAGAATGAATGACTTCACTAATAGAACTCCACACTGCTATTATTTTGAACATGCCCCTTTCAATTAGTGATTCAATTACACAGAATCAGCAGCATGCATGTCATGACTGTTGGGTTTGTTGGATTTCTATTACTCTACTACACCTGCTGGTAAATTATTTGCCATGTAGAAATATCATTTCTACCAAAAACAGTGATTGATCAGGTTAGTGATGTCTGACTGCTATTATTTTGAACACAACTGTATACAGTATATTTATTTATTTTTTGTTAGCAAATATATATATATATATATATATATATACATACATACATACACACTCACCACTTTATTAGGTACACCTTGCCAGTACTGTGTTGGACCCCCTTTTGCCTTCAGAACTGCCTTAATTCTTTGTGGCATAGATTCAACAAGGTGTTGGAAACATTCCTTAGAGATTTTGGTCCATATTGACATAATAGCATCACGTAGTTGCTGTAGACTTTGTCAACTGCACATCCATGAATCGAATCTCTCATTCCACCACATCCCAAAGATGCTATATTGGATTGAGATCTGGTGACTGTGGAGGCCATTTGAGTACAGTGAACTCATTGACATGTTCAAGAAAGCAGTTTGAGAGGATCTGAGCTTTGTGACATGGTGTGTTTTCCTGGTGGAAGGAGCCATCAGAATATGGGGACACTGTAGTAATAAAGGGATGGATATGATCAGCAACAATATTCAGGTTGGCCGTGGCGTCTAAACGATGCTCAGTTGGGGCCCAAACTAAGGGACCCACAGTGTGCCAAAAAAAATATTCCCACACCATTACACCACCACCAGCCTGACCTGTTGATACAAGGTAGGATGGATCCATGCTTTCATGTTGTTTACACCAAATTCTGACCCTATCATCTGAATGTCACGGCTCAATCAAAACTTGTCAGAACAGGCAACATTTTTCCAATCTTCTATTGTCCAGTTTTGGTAAACCCGTGTGAATTGCAGCCTTCATATCCTGTTCTTGGCTGACAGAAGTTGTACCCGGTGTTGTCTTCTGCTGCTGTAGCCCATCTGCTTCAAGGTTCTACGTGTTATGTGTTTAGAGATGGTATTCTGAATACCGTGGCTGTAAGGAGTGGTTATTTGAGTTACTGTTGCCTTTCTATCATCTCAAACCATTCTCCTCTGACATCAACAAGGCATTTTTTGTACACACAACTGCCGCTCACAAGATATTTTCTCTTTTTCGGACCATTCTGTGTAAACTCTAGAGATGGTTGTGCATGCAAATCCAACAAAATCAGCAGTTTTTGAAATACTGAAACCAGCCTGTCTGGCACCAACAACTATGCCACGTTCAAAGTCACTTAAATCCCCTTTCTTCTCCATTCTGATGCTGGGTTTGAACTTCAGAAAGTTGTCTTCACCATGTCTAGATGCCTAAATGCACTGAGTTGCTGCCATGTGATTGGCTGATTAGAATTTTGTGTTACCAAGCAATTGAACAGGTGTACCTAATAAAGTGGCCGGTGAGTATATATATATATATATATATATATATATATATATATATATATACACACATATACATACACACACACACTGCTCAAAAAAATTAAAGGAACACTTTTTAATTAGAGTATAGCATCAAGTCAATTAAACTACTGGTAGCATGAGGCGATACCTGGACCCTACAGAGGTTGCAGACAGTTCTCCAGGATGGCACATCATTACGTGCCATTGCCAGAAGGTTTGCTGTGTCTCCCAGCACAGTCTCAAGAGATCAGATAAGCATGGAGGCCATTCAATGGTATCAATTCCTTCATCCTCCAGAAACTGCCTACATACTTTTGGCACATGAGGTCAGGCATTGCCGTGCACCAGGAGGAACCCAGGACCCGCTGCACCAGCGTACGGTCTGACAATGGGTCCAAGAATTTCATCCTGATGCCTAATGGCAGTCAGGGTGCCATTGTCTAGTCTGTAGAGGTCTGTGCATCCCTTCATAGATATGCCTCCCCAGACCATCACTGACCCACCACCAAAACTGTCATGATGAATGATGTTACAGGCAGCATAACATTCTCCACGGCTTCTCCAGACCCTTTAATGTCTGTCACATGTGCTCAGGGTGAACCTGCTCTCATCTGTGAAAAGCACAGTGTACCAGTGATGGACCTGCCAATTCTGGTGTTCAATGGCAAATTTCAATTGATTTCTATGATGCTGGGCAGTGAGCCCAGGGCCCACTAGAGGACGTTGGGCCCTCAGGCCACCCTCATGAAGTCTGTTTCGGATTGTTTGGTCAGACACATTCACACCAGTGGCCTGCTGGAGGTCATTTTGTAGGGCTCTGGCAGTGCTCATCCTGTTCCTCTTTGCACAAAGGAGCAGATACCGGTCCTGCTGATGGGTTAAGGACCTTCTATGGCCCTGTCCAGCTCTCTTAGAGTAACTGTCTCCTGGAATATCTTCCATGCTCCAGAGACTGTGGAAAGGGTCATGGACTTTTTTCCCTCAGCAGATTGCGTTTTGTGCAGGGGCGGACTGACCATTTGGAAACTCTGGCTTTTTTGAGTTTGGGCAAGGACACAGGGGCCCCATGATCCCCTATTGCCCGGGGGCCCCATGATTTGTCAATCCGCCCCTGGTTTTGTGTGTAATAGACTTCAACAGACCCAAACCAAAAATGCAAGTGTTGCGTTTTTTTACGTTTTTTTGCCTTTCTTGCTAATAGGAAAAAAAGAATTCTTCATAAGAAAGTGCAGCGCAACTCTCTATATTCACCCCCCCCTCTTAACAATGCATATGCCTCTAACAGTGGTAAATAGTGATAACAATCATGATCATAAACGTCCTATCAACACAAAGTCCATACAATACATGAGTTGTTGCATGAGACCATCCCTGCTGGATGTCTGAGCAAAAAGAGGGCAATAGAAGTTAGGAGGAGATCTAGATCTGAATTGGAAGATGCTGTGAATATCCAGATGAGCGCATATTACCTAATTTTGAGGTGAGCAGGTCTTTCACGTGGTATGGTGGTGGTGCAACCGAACAGTGTAAAAGAAGAGGATATTCACAGTGTCACTTATAGACACCAATAGATGTATTATATGGACTTTGTTTCGATAGGACATTTATGATCACGTTGTTATCACTGTTAGTGGCCTATGCATTGTCAAGAAGGGGGGTGAATATAAGGAATTGCTCTGCACTTCCTTCTGAGGAATATTTATTGAGAGTGAAGTGAGATTCACTTTGTCTGTGTTCAGCAAGCAACAAGGGAGTGGGTTTAATTTAGTTTAGTTTATTTTGTATTATTTCAATTCTTTTTTATATGCTTTTTTGTTTGCACAAGATACTTTGGCACTTTTGAAAGATTGCGCCGACTGAACTACATTGGTTAATAGGAAAGTATGACAGTTCTGTTCATGTAGTGCAAGTTTGATGCGACTTTACACTCTCTGGCACTCTAGTAGCATGAAAGTCACATCAAAGTAGTGCAGGAACCTTTATGTGTCCAAAGTCTGATGTTTGGGTTAGGGTTAAATGTTCGGGTTAAGGGATAGGGTTAGGGTTAAATGTTAGGGATAGGGTAGCCCTTAACTCTAACCCCAATATTTAACCCTACCCCTAGCCCTTAACCCTAACCCTAACTTTGGACACATAAAGGTTCCTGCACTACTTTCATGCAACCTTTGATGCGATTTTGATGCTACTTGAGTGCCAGAGAGTGTAAAGTCGCATCAAAATCATAATACATAATCAGAACTGTCATACTTTCCTATTAGCCAAAAAAAAGCAAAGCACATTAAACAATATGTCACAAATTGTGAGTTCAAAAACGCAAAACACGCTAAAGAAAAAAGCATCAACCCCATCTTGCATAGATGTCAACCCAGCCTAAACACTGGTAAGCTGCAATATATCACATTTTAGCTCTTGAGTTCTGATAAGCTTTCTATGGAATGTACAGTGCTATAGAATTAAATACAAAGGCCAGATCCTCTCTTCACTGCTTGCAAATAACAGAGCGGTTATTGTTTCAATGTTGTGACTTCTCCCACATCTTGAAATCACACGTGTTTTTGTCTGCCGAGTTTACAAAGCATTTCGCCTTGAAAGAAAAGCTGACACGCGCCTGCATTAGTGATGCGTTCCTTTCGGTGCCTATTTTGAGAGCACGTATACGTATATATGTTTGTAGCAATTATTTCCGCCAGGGCGGCAAGTCGAAATGTATAATTTCTTTACTGTTTCTTCCACCAGCTCTCAAACTGTTTACCTTTGACTCTAACCACATGAAACACATTCACCCGCACGCCTTTATGGAGGGAGATTACATCAAGATTTCTCCAAAGAAAAAGGAAACTTCACCGCCTAATGGTAAGGATCCTCGTCTCTGGCAATGTGGGAAAGGTTACGGAAATTTGCTGCTGAGTTTTGGTGGGTTAAAACAGAATTCTGGAATACAACAAACTAATCTTGAAAATGCTCCCTCTCTCCCTTTCTAACATCTGTAGCACTACCCTCTTAGGAGCCGCCTTGAGCTTGTTTTTTTGTAGTTTTATCAAGGGGTATTGAACTTGGATGGGGTTGAGGTGTGTATGGGATGCCGAAGGAAACTGCAAACATGAGGACAAACTCCTTAGCGACTATGTACAAGTCTATAGACAAAAGAGGTTTCTTCTTGGAAGAGCTCTCTAGCCCTAAGGGTGTACCACTTCAGACCCCAAACGAATCCTCTTCACCCAGCTACTTGAGGGAATCCCTGAGCAAGGGGACCAAGAAACTGCCACTTTAGCAAAGCAGCACCAGATGAGGAGCTAGTTGGGTTTCCCACCTGACTGCTTTCTCCCTTTCTCCTGGTCCAGGGGGTGTAGGATTACTCACTTTGCTTCTCTTGTCAGCTTGTTGAGTTGGTGACTGTCTTCAGGCTTTACGCCAGGCTGGCTCCTTCCCTGCTTCCCAGGCTGTCCTCTCTCATCCTCCTGTCCAGCACCTGCCTGTAGGTAGGCCCCTCCCTGGGACCCCCTACCAGGTTCCACATTCCGCCTCTCTCTCTATCTTTCACCAGCCACTACTCCTCCTTTTGGCCAGGCTCTCATATTTAAGGGCTGTCCTGACCACATGCCAAGCATCCTGCTTGGGAATTGGTCAAGATCTCTTAAACATTCAGATCAACCTCTCCTCACTCCTACCCACTGCCTTCTAGAAACTTCTCAAGCTTCTGGAGAAGTGGAGGTATCAGGGAACTGACCTGCAGAGCCCTCAGCCCTGACCCAAAGCAACCTAGCTGACTCATCTTAGTCTGACTCATAGCAGGCCCCTGACCAAAAAACCTTCTAGCTCCCTCTAGCCAAATCTGAGGGGCTGTACACACCTATTTCGACTAATCTGTATAATAAAGATCTGCATGCTTAGCTATTCTCATGGCGCTCCAGTCCAGTCATGTGATCTCCCCTGCCTCAGCCCGCACCAGCTGAAGGAGAGAGGAGAGACAAAATGTCAGGGCTCCAGAGGTGTGTGGACTGACACAGGGAAACGCAGGCTTCAGGTCATACCCGGAGCCCTGACATTACACCAAGGCCCTGATCACAGGCCTGGTCCTGCTTAAATACACCTCCTGCAATCAGCCTCAGGTGATGGCCTGATTGCTGGATTTAGATTCTGGCTGCTGAGAGCACCCGCTGGCCAGCCTTGGTACTGCAGCCCACAAGGCAGGTGAGTCCCACCAACATTGGCGAGTCCATTCCTGACACAATGGCTGGAATGCCTAAGTGGTGATGTCACCCATAGGCTTACTATGGGTCATCCATTGTCAGCTGTCCCTCTTCTCTCCTGAAGTCACCACTGTCTCACACAGGGGAGCTGGATCACTTGGCCAGACCAGAGCAACTTGAAAATAGGTATTTACATCTTTCGTCTACAGGGTAGTTAGTATAGATGTTAGAAGGGGGTAGGAGCCATTCCAGTATGACCATGTGATCCCCCCTGCGTCAGCCCGCATCAGCTACAGGGGAGAGGAGGGAGCTCTCCGATGAAGGCTGGAATGCCTAAGCATTGATGTCACCCATAGGCTTACTATGGGCCGTCCATTGTCAGCTGTCCCTCCTCCCACCTGAAGACACCACTGGCTGACACAGGGAAGCCGGACCACTTTACCGCACCGGAGCTGCTTGAAAATAGGTAAATATTTACATTCTTCTACAGGGTTCTTAGTATTGTTGTTAGAAGGGGGTTGGGAACAGTTTTAAGAGTACTTAGTTGTATCCCAGAGTTCTACTTTAAATCTGAACTCTGGGCTGCTACTGATTAGGAGGCAGTGGTTTAGAGTTGTCAGCCTGCCACAGGATGTTCAATTACTGGCAGAATTTCCAAGTAAGAAACTCTGCAACACTTGCATAAAAACAATTTACTGTATACAAAAAAATGAGCCAAACATACTGATGACATGATTTAGGTTATGCATACAATAGAAAAACATTTTTTAAATGTAACTAATGTACCTGATTATTAGCTTCTTGCAAACCCTGTACAAAAGAGCTCACACTGGGATCCAATTACTCATCAGATTGCAGTTTTTCCTTTCACTGTCCAGTCAAAGGGTGGGGATGTGGAGGAGGTCTGTACATTATACTGAACCAGTGGCGGACTGACCATTTGGAAACTCAGGCACTGCCCGAGGGCCCGGGGTCAGTAGGGGGCCCGATGAGATGCACCTGGTACCTTTTTCATAGGCTTTTTTGAGTTTGGGCAAGGACACAGGGGCCCCATGATCCTCTATTGCCCGGGGGCCCCATGAGTTGTCAGTCTGCCCCTGTACTGAACCGCAGCAGATAAAAATCTGCTCTCCTGCCCTGCCAGTCTGTGGCAGAGCTGTGTCAATCTCAGAACTAGATGGACAGAAATACAAATCTATGAAGTGATTCTAAAAGGTTTTTTTTTTTTAAATACAAACATATCATACTTGGTTTTGCACATAGCAGCCCTGATCCTCCTTTTCTCTGGTCCCTCCTGGCCCCTCCCTCCACCGAGTGCCCACCATAGCAAGCTGCTCATGCTGGTTTGCTCCCTACTCCTGAGCTGTGCCCTGTGCGTCTATAAGTCTAGGTCCACACCTATGCAGGTTGCATTTGAGGTGTTTCTGCATTGCATTTTTGCCGCGTTTTTGATGCATTTTGAATTTTTTTACATTTTTTTTCTTGTTGCTAGGCAGATTTAAAATGCAAACGCAACAAAAACGCTTTTCTGCAGCATTCCCATTGAAGTCTATAAAACCAAAAATGCAACATTTTGCGTTGAAAAAAATCCCTGACCCTTTCCAAAAAATGCGGACATGTGAAAGTGTCCCATGGGAAATCATGTTAAAATGGACTGTACTGTGTTTTTGAAAAATGCAAAAAACACTGCAGAAAATGCTTAGGTGTGAACCTAGGGTAAGACACATAGAGCACATCTCAGCCCCCCACCCCCTGCTCCCTCCTCACTGGCTGTGATTGACAGAGGTGGGAGCCAATGGCTCTAGCTGCTGTCTCTAAGCTAATGAGAAGTGAGAGAGTCGGGAGAGCTTTACTTGCACATGGCTGAATCGAGATCAGGCTCAGGTAAGTACAGTGAAGGAAATAAGTATTTGATCCCCTGCTGATTTTGAATGTTTGCCCACTCACAAAGAAATGATCAGTCTAAAAATCAAATGGTAGGTGTATTGTAACACTGAGAGACAGAATAGCAACAAACAATTCTAAAGAAATGCATGTCGGGAGGAGGAGGAATGCTGCCTATGACCCCAAGAACACCATCCCAACTGTCAAACATGGTGGTGGAAACATTCTGCTTTGGGGGTGTTTTTCTGCTAAGGGGACAACTGCACCGCATCAAAGGGACGATGGACAGTGCAATGTACCGTCAAATCTTGGGTGAGAACCTTCTTGCCTCAGCCAGGGCATTGAAAATGGGTCATGGATGGGTGTTCCAGCATGACAATGACCCAAAACACATGGCCACGGCAACAAAGGAGTGGCTCAAGAAGAAGCACATTAAGGTCCTGGAATGGCCTAGCCAGTCTCCAGACCTTAATCCGATTGAAAATCTGTGGAGGGAGCTGAAAGTTCGAGTTGCCAAACGTCAGCCACCAAACCTTAATGACTTGGAGAGGATCTGCCAAGAGGAGTGGGCCAAAATCCCTCCTGAGATGTGTGCAAACCTGGTGGCCGATTACAGGAAACATCTGACCTCTGTGATTGCCAACAAGGGATTTGCCACCAAGTACTAAGTCATATTTTATGAAGGGGATCAAATACTTATTTCCCTCATGAACATACAAATCAGTGCATAATTTGTTAGACATGCATTTCTTTTGAATTTTTTGTTGCTATTCTGTCTCTCAGTGTTACAATACACCTACCATTTGATTTTTAGACTGATCATTTCTTTGTGAGTGGGCAAACATTCAAACTCAGCAGGGGATCAAATACTTATTTCCTTCACTGTATAAGGGGGGTTGGGGGAAAGCTGCACTCAAAAGGGATTTTAGAATGCTTAGAATGCATGAATGTAAAAAAACCTTCTGCCTTTACAACCACTTTAGTTCTCATATGTGTACAGTATTTCATCTATTTAGTATTTAGTAATTCATTTGAAAAAGCCGCTTTGGAAGAGCTGCTTGAAAATACTGCGACTATGAAAAGGCTAATGATACAAATATTTGTATGCAAATGTGGCCAAACAATGAAATAACGGCACATTAACATGCACTAATTAAAGGGGAACAACCATTAATACAGGGAATTGTTCAAAAGGCTGCTTAGCCCTGCAAAATTACATTTAATTAAACGCTACTTTTGCTTATTAGAACAAAAAAAAAAAAAAAGAAATACATTTTGAGTTGCACTTTTAAAAATTTTCTGTCTGTAAGTAAAGTCGGCGTCTGGTAGCAAAATGGCTTCTGTCAAATATTTAACAATACCTTCTAGTTTGCTCATGCATTCACAAACTATTGAAATGATCTTTGAGCTCAGTAGGTGTTTATGAGAAATATGCCTTAATAGTAAGGTGAGGTAAGACGGTTAGTGGAAATCAGGCTTGCAGTAGGAGCACCTGGGGAGGAAGTCAAAGTGGAACCTTCAGTAACAAATCTGATGATAGGGCACAATGTACAGCAAGAGAATAGTTTTTTCAGAAATGACCTACCTTTTATCATTAACCACTTCCCGTCCTCCGGCCCATGTAGATAAACGGCCAGACGGATGCGCTGCTGAAGCGGGTGGACGTTTCTAAATGTCCCCCCGCATCCATTACCTGTACGCACTCCCTGGGAGCGAGCGGCACTTTTCTTCATAAGAGCCCCCCATACATCAAAGTTCCCACTAGAGTTCCCCCTTACA